GCTCTTATTTCAATACCCGCTGCTTGCTCCCTTTCCCGCCAAACGCGGATATAGCCATTAGGATGACTTGCATCCTGCTGCAAGCAATGTGTCCGATCTTTACCCTACAAAGGTATTGTTTAAAGGGCTCTGAGGCTTTTGAGCAAACTGGCCTGGCAGGGGGACTTTCAACTTCCCCTCCCTTATGGGCGCAACAGCCTGTGTTTGTAAACAGAGCCTTAGAGGAGTAGTGGGAGCCACTAGAGGACTGTCAGCTAGTTAATTGGATGTCAGCTCCCTGCCGGGGATGGAGGCTAATGAGTCATCCTGCATAAAGGGAACGGCCCTGAGAGAAAGGCAAAGAATTGGACAGCAATAATCACATCTACAGAGGAGCCCAGAGCCCGCCTGTTGGGATAAAGGCAGAGCAGCATTTGGGGACAGAGGGTTTCCCTGTTTGGGTTTCGTCAAACAGAGATTAAGCGGGCTCTGAATGTGTAAAGTTGAGATGTTATTGCTGGTGCATGTGCCGAAACATGTGCTCGTGCGCACGGGCGATGGTCTAGGATACAATATAAACGTTTTCAGTCCATGTATTTGGGTTGCCTTTGTTTTCTGAAAAATACAGGATGATCTTTTAAAATGAAAGAAATCAAAATGGTATGCTAATGGAGAGTTTAATGCGGGAAATGGCAAAAAGGAACAACAAAAGGACCATTGCAATCATTACTTTAAATTAGGAAGTTACTCTTGTGTTGTGAAAAGTCAAAGATCAAGTTCATTTTGCTGAAAACTGTCTTCTAAAATGATGAGGCTTTCATTGACACGTGAACCTTTCAAAAAAAATTTTTTTTTTGGAAGTTAACGTTTTGTGCATAAATTAATTTTATTTCTAGGGACATATTGATTGAAAATATTTGAGTGTAGTTACATGAATAGATAGGGGATTCTTTTTTTTTTTTTTACATCTTTTTCAAGAGGGAAACATGAATGAGAGAGAAAGATTGCTTATTGGCATTAAGTTGTGTAAAACAAGCATATGTTACCATTTAAAACCACTTTGTCAAAGGAAAGAGTAATAGGGAAATAGTGAGCCACACACAAAAAGGTAAGATAAAGATTAAAAGAATCATAGAAAAGATGGCTGTAAGAAATCCTGAGAAGTCATTAGGCCTATCTGCATGCCCTAAAATGAGCTGCTCTCTACCTAAGCTGTGCTCGATGAGTGCCTGCCTAGCCAGCTCTTAAAAAAGAGAAGATTAGAATATCCCTTGCCAACTGATTCCAGTACACCACTGTTCTTACCTGTGGAGATTTTTCTTGATGTTTAACTTCAACCATACCTGTAGCAATTTAAGTCTGTTGCTTCGTGTTCTACACTCCTGGGACATAAAACTAATTCCCTTTGCCCTTTCAGCAACCTTTTCCGTATGTGATACCTTAAATTTTCTTCAGAGCAAACAACAAATTATTTTCCACCTCTTTCATGGTGCCCAGATCACTGGTCTTTCTAGAGTCTCCCCACAGGATTTTCTGTAGTTGCTGTTTATTATTTCCTGAACAACCGGGAGAAAGCAGGGAAGGTAGAACAAGACCTGCTGCAAAGAGAATTTGTTAGCCAGGAGAATGTTGTGGGCAGGAGCTACTGCTAATTGGAGTGTCGGAGAAGGGGAGATGGTGCTGGATACAGCTAAGCCACAATTGTCATCCTAAAGCTTCAAACACTTCTCAGTCCTCTGTGGCCCACCCTCATCTTGTCCTCTGTAGCACATAAGCAGTGCGCACCCTGATCCTATTATAACTCATGGCAGTAGCACCAGGAAGACCTGTATGCCTCAGTGCTCTTAAGTCATTCAAAAATGGCAATTCATACGGGCTGACGGCCAACTGAGTAAATGAGGTATTGGCTTCTCTCCAGATTTATGCAACGTGCTGGATTTTATCGGTGCTTCTCTGAGGTTTTCAGTATAGGCAAAAAAGCAAATAGGCAAAGTGGTGTTTCCCTTGATCTGGAGTCCTCTCTAGATACAGTCCAGAACTGTTCTGAAACAGTTGAGGAGATACTTCGTCTTGTTTCTAGAATTGCTGAAATATTGCATAGTGGCCTGGAACTGTGGGATTTCGTGGGTCGGGAAACTGTTTTGAAGGCTGTAGGTCCCTCAGTGGCTGTGGCAATCATAGGAACTCCTCTTTGCCCCAGATTCCTGTTTGTGCCTTCTGACAAGGTAGCTCTTTTGGAGATAAAGATTTCTAATGAGCCAGTATGTACAAGAAAAAAGACAGCTTGCAGAGAGCTGGAGGGATAGCGTAGTTCCAGTTACCCAAGGGAGGATGAAGCACTGTGTCACCTCCTTCCAGAGCAAGAGAGAGTGACGTTAGCTGGATAGCACGGTGTATTTACCTGGCTGCCGCTCGTGCTAGATCTGATCTGTGGGGCAAAATCAAAAGGCTGTCAATCCTGCACCAAATTAAAACGGAATCATGAGAATTAACGTGCTTTATAAATGCGGGTTAAGCACACTATAAGCACACCGTAATTACAGTCAGCTGCCTGGCTAGTGCAGCCCAGTAGCACTGAGCTTAGGCATTAAGTTGAATATACAATTAATAAGAGCTTATATTAAAGGCATTAGGCATGTTACAAAAGCTTTGTAACAACAGAGTGTGACCCAGCCTTGGACACAGAGAATGGGGTTTTGTGTGCTATAATTAGCACGCACAAAACCTCCCCATTAACTCGACAGTTTTCCATTTATTCTTTAAATAATTGAGCAGTGCAAAGTGCTCTCGGCCCATCCGAGATGGGAGCTGTGCAGTCAGCATGGAAGCGTTGGGGATCTCAACCTTGTCTCCCTTCGGGCAACCTGGGCAGTGCCAGCTGGGCGGCTGAGATACCTGCCAAAATCACTTACCTACAAGGTCAAACTCTGCCCGCACGCTCCCTATGCCTGCCTGACCGATACCAGGACTGGCACGCAGAGTTGCAACCAGCCATCTGAAAAGCTGCTGCTCCTTTTTCGCCTCCTTACTCTCCTGAAACAAGTGGATCTCAGTGCAGAGAATGGGTTTGACCTGTTCCAGGACCTGAGAATTAAGGGAGAGGAGCAAATGCAGCAGGATGGAAGGAATTTTCTCGTATGTGAGCTGAAGTGTAAGAAATTTTGCATTGAATTGAAGACCAATATGTCAGTACTTGTGATCTGTGAGAGCTGGCATCTTTGGGATCACTCTGCAGGTCCAGGGCAGAGCTGGAGAAAGACTGTACAAATTAAAGGTAACAAGATGCAAAGGTTGTGTGAAGGAACAGGTCTGTATCTTTCATCTGAACATGAAAGAGGGGAGAAAAGCAGAGCCTGAGGACTAATGGAAAGCCTTTTGGAGGCAAACAGTGTGCAACAGCAGTTTATTTGCTTTGAGTCCCACATGCAGCTTAAAATTCAGATGAGACGTAACACATGGTCTTTTGGGGGCATGTTATCTCCATGATGAAGGTGGGCTCTGAAAGTTAAGGATGAGTAAAAAGATTTGTGTTCGCCTTCAGCTCAGACGGAGTGTGGCTCTGCTGATTAGCTTCTGCTGCACTCCACTTGCAAGACTTGCATCTCTAGAGCCGCTGATCTTTGGGACAGGGCTGGCGGCGTGTGCAGACCTGTGGCAGTGAAGGATGTGGCAGTGCCCTGCAGTTGCTAGGGCTTAAGGGATGCAGACGTTGGATCTCCTCCCTTCATCCACTACACGCTGATTTCTCCTCTTGCATTTCACTAGGTGACCTGTGATAGATTCTTTCCCACTAAGCAGAACTTCCCTTCTTAAGAGGGGAGAGATGGCTGAGATGCAGTAAAATGCCCAACAGGGTCTTCCTGTGCTAGGACCAGCGCCTCTGAAACTTGGTAGCCAGATACAGAGAGCATCCAGAGAGTAGCACGCAGTACTTCTGGCCAACAGCTGACACTTTATTCCTTCTGATTGACAAAAGTAAAATTCAGCCAATTCCTAACTCCGAGTCTGTCATGGCAGAACCACATTTTACACTTAGGTTGTCCTGTTTTTCCCCTTAAGATTTGGCTTATGCCTAATCCCCTCCAAAGCCCATCTGTATTCTCCAGGGATGTTCCTCTCTATCCCTTTTTTGCTGTCATCCTGCAATTTTGGTGACAGGCATTAATCCCAAGGAATGTTATTTCTGTATTCTAGTGCTCACCTGAGCCAGAAGCATCTGTTTTCAAGGGTCGGGTACCTCACAGATAAGGTGACTCTGTTTCCTGTTATAAAGAGCAGCCTTCTTTTGCATTCCAGTTTCAAAGTTTTGCCACTTGCAGAAAAATTCTGTATTTCCGTGTGGCTGCACACAAGATCGGAATCATTGGATGAAAAGAATTCCTTATTGCTTCCTCTCTTTCCTCTTAACTATGCAGTCTGTGCTGGAGGTTTTTATAAAGCGTGCAATTCTAGCGGCTTTGGCTTTCCTGTAGTGCACGAATATGTAATACAAATGACATCTGTCATGTTTGATTTGTTCTGGTGCTTAAGTTTGGGGAAGAATAGCTCCCACTTGTGATGGGAAGTTTCGAGTATCTCCCTCTGTGTTGAACTGTCTTGCAATTTGTTATGGTCAGTAAAAGGGGCTGTTCTTTGCTGAGGCTGAAATAGAAGTCCTGCTAATGCACTAATTGCTAGTATGAAATACAAAGGCAATGATTCTAGAAGTTCCTGAGCTGCAGATTCCTCGTGACTAGGAAATTATGTGGTTGAAGTATCGCCCTGCTGTTGCACTCTTCCCTGGGCATCCTCTACTGGCTGCAGAAGAAGACAGGTTTTAGAGCTAAATGATCCATTGGTACTGTTGTATTTACATATTCATGAAGTTTCATTGATTAACTTTCACCCCTTCTCCTCAGAATAATAGCTGGAGAGTTAACATTATCTGGGATTTTGCCAGTGATGAGTTAGAAAAGATGACTAAAATAAAATGTTGCAGCCTAGACAATCGTTTACTGTCTTATCCTCATCTTGAATGGTGAAAGAACGTAAAACATCAAAATTCTTACTAAGTGATGTTTTCAAAATTAAATTAGAAAATGTAATTAGATTTGCTTCCTATTTTTGTCTGCCCTACACGTCTGCCCTGGGTTGTCTTAGGTTGTGTCCTTCTGTGCCACCTGGTTCTTGGCTATCTGTCACATCACTCCCTGCCCAGTGTCACAGCCTGTACTGGGGGTGCAAAGGCTTTCTCCTGGCCTGTTCTTGTGACCTGTGGCTTGTTTCCTCATTATTTTTCCCTTTAAAAAAATTTTCTCTCGTTACCTGAACCTCTCAGTTTCTACTATTCTACCTTTTGTTCTTCGGTGTGGGCATAATTAATAATTTTATAAAGCTGTTTGGGAGATAGTTTGCATGAAGCATAAGCAAATAAATTATTCTTATTTTGCTTTAGATTGTATAGGGAAAGCAATGTTTGTCTAGATATACTCTGCTGCACATGTACTTTTTATTTGAATGGTATATGGTTTTGATATATATATGGACACATGCATATATGCCCAATCTGTTTGATCACAAGCGTGTGTGCGCTGCTGGTGTGTGCCCTGAGTCCAGATAGGTTTCATACGCGGGGTCTGACTGTCTGATTGTTGCTATTATGCTTCAGAGTATGTTTTCAAAAATAATTTCCTGCCACATTCCTGACTGTATTTGTAGGCTGAGTTTATCCTCTTCCCTGCTGTTCCATGATCTGCCCCTAGGTTACTAACAACCCCAACAGACAGCCTGGCTCATGCTACCTGCTGCTTAGATGCAGATTAACTCACTGCCAGCCATATGGACTACCGACTTCACAAATTCCTCTCCTTTTGCTTTCTGCTCTCAGAAAAGTTAATGGACAGTTTGCTGGTAAAGAAAACGTAAAACAAAACCCCGAACCTGGTGACATAATCACCTGGGCTTAACACAACTGGCCCCTCCATCTGCCTTTGCACTGGGATTTGTGCACATAAAGCAGAATATGGTGCGGTGCGCAATGCGGGTTCCCGTTGGTGACTTTCCCTTATGGCATATGTACTTGTTTACAATACAATGGAATTAGACAAAGGCGTTACACATATATTGCACGCTGATAACCACATATGACCTTATATTCTTAAAAAGATCCCTTAAGGCTTTAATCAGTAGTGACTCTTGTGTTGTCATTGGTTGCTTTCTCTGCTGCCGTCTCTGGCCTGGGCACTGGGGCTTGAAAGCTGCATCGCCTTAAGTGTTATCAGCCCGGCAGGCCATGTTTCAAGGTGATTTTCATGGTGAGTTTACAAGATACATATTTGGGAAGGGATAGATGTGAGGCCAGAAAACCAGAGATTTTTCAGGAGGTGAAGATGCTGTGACTTAAGTAAGGAGAGGGCTAGCAGGGGGTCTGGGTTACATTAGTAGTGGTGCGTCTCCAGTTTTTATCAGAAAACTGAACTCTTTAATGCCAAGTACTGACTTCTAAATATTATTTTCTGTCTGTGTTTTAGAGGTGGGGAGCCAGGCTGCTCAGGAATTACTGGGCTGAGTGTCAGAAGTGCTCAGGGCCAGCACCAGCAAGTGGTGGTGCTGTGCTGTGCCCGTGGTGTGCTTGTGGATCCTGTCCAGGCTGAGCGCCCATCAGCACTGAGTCCTGGTTGACTCTGCTCGGGCTTCTTGCCGTCTGGGGCAGATGTGGACATCCAAAAGAGGTGGTAGCGTTAGTCTGTGCTCTCAAAAGTGTGGCGTGCTGTCTGACATGGAAGTGAAATATGCCTTAAGGGGCATCAGGCATCAGTCACAAAATACCTTTCTGTCACTGCGGCGCTCTTGTGTTTGAGACGTAGATTACAGGCACTTTACCTCCAGTCACTGGTGAATTACAGTTTATATCTGCAGTTTGTAGCATGTGTTTATCAGCAGTATGTGCATTCACATACAGGTAATCCTATATATATAAATAAGTTGGATCCTCAATTTAACCCTGGAGTTAAGATTCACTATGCATCCTAGCTTGTAAGCATTAGCTTACATAGTCTTTATATTCCTTTGGTAAAGGACTAAATGGTTATGAAAACGAGGAGAACTAAAGTTGACCCGCTGGTGTGCAATGATGCAGTTTGCGTAACTGCTGGGCACGTTCCAGCAGTGCCGGGTTTTACGAGTGTTTATTTTCTGAAGCGCTCCTGGAGTGGTTTGTTCTTTGAACATTTTGGCAAATAAGAAATTTAAAGCTGTAGGAAGAATCAAGTGAAAAATACAATTTAAACTGTTTAAAATTGAAATAGGTGGGGGTTTTGTTTTTGCAATGTTCTCTGCCCTCTAAATAGGAAATATAAATATTTTTACAATCTCTTTGATTTTCCCTTGTGTATTGCACCATAGAAATTCAAAGTTTTGGACCTCATCTAGCACTTTGCAGGCTACCACTTTTCCTCTTCCCTCCAGAAATTTAAGTTTTACTAACGCTTTGGGGTTCTCTGAATTTTTTAGTCTTTGGAGGGGGGAAAAAAAAAAAGAAAAAAAAAAAAGAAAAAGAAAAAAGAAAAAGTCCTCAAAATAAAGAGCATGGTAGTCTAGCTTCCCCAATGACAGAACGCAAAGCAGGATATAATAAAAAAAAAAAAAGAGACTAAAGTATAGGTAGTCCTTATTTTCCAAATGATTGAGGGGTTTTCATCAAAGGATTTTGAGTATTTCTTTTTAGAAACAAAATGCTTTCCAAATATCACAACTTGGGATTGTCTTTTGAGCTCTATTAATGAACATTCACAGAAGAGGGAGGCATCACATGTGAGAAATACAGGAAAAAAAGGAAAAAAAAAGAAAAAAAGAAAAAGAAAACGTTGGGAGTTTCACATCAGATGGTGTACTGAACTTGTCAGATGCTCCGGTTCATGCCTCGAGCTGTGGTTGCCTTACAGAAACTGGTAACATAAACACATGGATTCTGGCTTCACTTTTTATTGAAGGGGATTTATAAGTGATTTTTAAGAAGTAATGATTGTTCTGAAAGAATATATCCATTCTTACATACTACATTTTGTAGTGTAAGTGCCTTTCGGTCGGAGGCGAGTCTTTCTCCC